ACCATAAAGTTTACAAAACAGAAAAGATTACAGGAATTGGAAATGTGCTTATGACAGTATCTAACGAAAATAATACAACTAAATTTACACTCAGAAATGTGCTTATGTGTTCCGGAATTAAAATGTAATTTGCTGTCAACATCTAAAGCTACCGCAAATTAATCGTTCAGTGATGTTTTACAGAACGACATGCTAGAATAATAGAACCAAATGGATCTATACTAGTGCAGGCTATTCGTCATGGTGATCTTTATTATATATATATATAAACACTGAAACAGCTGCAATAGCAGAGGTAAGTGATTTTGTAAAGTGGCATCTTAAATTAGGTCATTTAAATTAGTCTGATTTGAAAAGACTTAAATATGATAATATGGTTAGAAATTTAAATTTTAATAATACTGAATCTCTAAAAGACTGCCTGTATCCAAGGTAAACACAAACTGCGCAACCTTTTCAAAAAGAATCAAAATTTCAAAGTGATGAATTACTGAACTTGACTCACTCAGATTTGTGTGCACCTATGAGAGTCCCATCCGATGCTGGTTCGCGTTATTTTGTACCTTCATAGACGACAAATCGTGTTATGTCGAAGCCAGTTTTCTTAAAACTAAAGACGAAGTGAAAATGCATTCAATAAATACAAAGCTGCAGTCGAAAATCGTCTAGGAAAGAAAATAAAAATCCTTCGCACTGATAACAGCCTCGAGTATCGCGGAGAAGAATGTAATAAATATATTCAAGAATGTGATATTAAACGAGAATTCTCTGCACCAAATGACTCCTCAACAGAGTTCGAGAGCTAAACGATTGATTCTCAGTTAAACTAAAATGGCCAGATATTTGTTACTCCAAAGTAATCTTTCCCAATTCTTTTTGGATCGAAGCCTTGAAGTGTGCTCTTTATATACGTAATCGTTGCTTATATCGAAGTCTGGGAGTAAACAAGACACCATACAAGTTATGTTTTGGCATCAATCCAACTCTATCTCACTTCAAAGTATTCAGACAGAAATGTTTCTTACTTAATAAAAGGTCTAAAGGGAAATTCGATTCTCGATCACATGATATCTTTGTAGGATACTCAAATGAATCGAAAGCATACAGGCTGTGGGAAAAAAAAATTCCAGAAAAATAGTTATAAACCGAGATGTTAGATTGATTGATGAATTTGAAAACTGACATAATTATGATAAAGATTTAGGAGTTTTACTTCTTCAAAATATTCCTGATAAAAAAAAGAAGAACCTTCGAATGTAAAGCATATATCGGCTGTGAAATAACAGAAGTGTCCTCAAATATGGCAGAAGCGTCTGCTGAATCATCTGATAATGAAGATTCTGATTCCGAAGCAATAATATGTAAATTAAAAGGGGGCCAGGTCGTGCAAATAAAATCAAGATTGGGAATCCAGGAAGACCAAAAAAGAAGTACCGCAATATAAGCATAATAAAAAAAGGAGAGGAAACAAATCCGACATTAGAAGAAGCATTAAATAGAAGTTAATGCTGAATAATGACATAATACTACGCAAAATGAGTATCACGCACTTGTTAAAAATGGTGCATGAAAAGCGGCCACAAAACATCGCTGGGTTCTTAGAATGAAATACACTGACTACCAATAAGTATTTGGACACCTGTGATAGAAAAGAAAAACTAACTTTATTCCAAATCAATAGTTGGTAGGGCCTCCACGAGAGGTAATACACGTGGACCCCGGGGCTACTTTTCAACAGTCTTTGTTGCAGCTAGTGTATTTTCTTCCACTCGGCTGGGAAGACATAGAGTTCCTTCACCGATTTGCACGGGTAGTGCACACCTGAATTCGGCGATGCAACTCGTCCCAGAGGTTCTCGATAGGGTTCAGGTGGACTCTGGGCAGCCAGTCCATTCGATGAACTCCATTGGCCCATACCAAGCCTTGGTTAACGTCGAAACATGACAACTGCATTGTCGTCCTGAAAGTAACAGGGGGTCCAACCCGTAAAACCTGCCACAACGTAGGAAGTACATTGTCATCCAAAATAGTGCAGTAGGAATCGGAGTTGAGCTTACCATGAATGGGAACCAGGGTCCCAGCCCATACCAGGAGAAACCTCCCAGACCAAATTCCACCTTCGCCGAACTTGACTATTGGACAATGCATTCTGGCAGGAGAACGTTCTCAGGTAGACGCCAGCCCAGACCCTGCCATCCGAAGTAAAGGGTGAACCTTGATTCGTCACTCCAAAGAACCCGCTTCCTTTGATCTACGGTCCAATTTCGATGTGCTTTGCACCACATTAACCGAGCAGCGCTGGTGGACTTTGTGATCAAAGGCTTATGGCCATGAAAACGAAGCAAATGTGCTTCCTTACGGATGGTATTCATTGAAACAATACTCCCGGATGCTGGTTGAAACTCCTCGCGGATGAGGGCCATCGGTTGGGTGCGGTTCTTCCGAATTTCTCTGAACAGCACCGTCGGTCTTATGCCCCAGTTTCTTGGTCGCCGAATCGGGGCACATTCAACAACACCCCTCACCTCCACTTCTTAATCACATAGGCCACTGCCGATATTGGGTACTTCAGATCGCTAGATATGTCCCTTAAGGATCAGCCACATTTGTACCGATATTATACATTTCTCGAAATCAGAGAGCCCGAACTGCGAGGCTCTTGCATGCGATTAAAGCCGATGCTGTTTCCTACACGATATATACCGGCGGAGTCCGTGGCGTACTTTGGGACCGCAGAAATCGTCATTTGCATAGGTGTCCAAATACTTATTGGTAGTCAGTGTATAATGCAGATGGAACAGTTCAAAAGCTCGATCGGTTGCTAGAGGATTTGTACATGAACCTGGAATTGATTTCAATGAAACCTTTCCTCTAGTAGCCAGAACAAGCTCTATAAGAACTGTGACTGCATACAGTGCTGAACAAGACCTTATTTTATATCAGCTAGATTTTGTTGTGGCTTATGTTAACGAAGATTTAAAAGAAGAAATTTCATGGAACAAGCTAAAGGTCTTGAAAACCAAAATAATCCTGATTATGCTTATGCTTTGCAAAAGTCTCTTTATAGTTTGAAACAAAGTGGACGACAGTGATATGAAAAATTAGACAAAAAACTCAAAAACTTTGAATTACAACCATTACAATCAATAGATGATCAATACAATGGAAGACCAGATAAGTGTGTATACAAGATGAAAACATCTCAAGGTGAGTTAATTCGAATTTTATATGTAGATGACTTAGTAATAGCAACAAATAGCTGTGATTTATATGCTGAACTTAAAGATTATCTTTCTAAAGAATTCCATGTTAAAGATTTAGGCAAACTTCCTTATTGTCTTGGAACAGAATTTAATCAAGATGTAAATAATAATTCTATTAGTTTATCTCAGCGGAAAGTTGATAACATTGTACGAAGGTTTAATATGCAGGATGCAAAACGAGTAGCAACGCCTTTAGATGCTAATGTAAAATTAAGTAAAGGACTGTATCCTTCTGAAAGTGAAAAGGAAGAAATGAACAATGTAACCCAGCGCGGCTTTGATTTTTTGATGTGGGGAAAAAGCTAAAACTGACGCTCTCACCATCATCTTTAAGTTCTCTAACAAGTTTAATTTTTAATAAATATGAAACAGGTAGGAATTTGAAGTAAAAACTAAGCTCCATTTATACTAAATTCCTACGTGCTTTTTTAGTCCAAAGGGATTTGAATCCCGAAGGACTATTAGTTTCGTTTTGGCCATTGCGTCGGACGGATAAATGTCGGTTCAACTTTTCAATGTTGCCATAAAATGTTAGAGTCCTGCATTATATTTGAAGAAATTAAATAATGAAAATCTGCGTAAAGTATGTATATTTCTCACATTGTCATAAAATAAACGGTACATAGAGTCATCGATTTTGCATAACGTAATCCTCCAACGAATAGAGCATGTGGAAGACCAAATTTGAAATTGAAATTTGTTTTATGATCGATTTCTATTTTTTAAATTTTGACGAATTTTGATTAACAAAATCAAGGATTTCAAAAATGGCAACGTGTGAGAAAACATTTTTATCTCCAGCGCGTGGAGTCTCTGTATCGGAAATTCTAAAGAATATGCTCGTTTAAAATATTTGCGATATTGCTGTTGCACTGGATCTTATGGTTTAAGTGCGAGGAACCTGATATAATAAAGAAAGGTAACACACAAAATGTTAAAAACGCCCCTTTGGACGTAATTTAAAATCTGAAATTCAGATTTTTTTTTTTTTTTGTTGTTTTGTTTTGTTTGTTTTGTTATACGGAAAAAACGTACCAAGTGAAATAATTAGAAATCGGTCCCTCATAAGAATCGCCTTTCTGAACTTCACGCTTTTGGTTGAGCTAATTTTGGATTCAGTCCTAATCTTAACTCTAATCCCGAAGTGCTTCTAACTAACATTTGAAAAAATATTTGAATTTGCCGCCCACGAGAGTAGCCGCCCGGGGCAAGAATCCCGGCTTGCCCCCCGCTAGATCCGGAACTGATGTAACCTTATCGTCGTCTAATTGGCTCGCTTATGTACTTATCCGTGCTTACCAGGCCGGATATTACATACGCTGTCAGTCACGTGGACCAATTTAATAACAATCCTAGAAAATTGCACTGGTTGGCTGCAAAGCACGTTCTTCGGTACTTAAAAGGAACTAAAAACTGTTGTCTAAAATTTCGAAAGACTGGAAAAGCAAATTATTGGATATATCGATGCCGAACTGGGCGTCTGATGTTGAATACTAGAAAATTTCCTAAAACAGGTTACCTATTTTCAAGCTTGCTGGAAATCCAATAACATGGGAATCGTGAAAACAACAAACCTCTGCATTATCAAGTACTGAAGCAGAGTCACATCAGTCTTTTACGGAGAGTGGTTATAAAGAAGCAGTTTATTTACGTCGTTTTCTCATTAAAGAATTCAAATTTTAATGACTGGTTATCCAACTATTGTTTATTGTGATAATCAGGGCGCACAGAAAGTTATGAAAAACTCTGTTTACCACTCACGCACTAAACACATAGGCATTAGACATAAGACACCATTTCATACATGAAATTTATGACGGTAATGAAACAGGAGTTAAATATGTGCCAACAGAGAAAATGCCTGCTGATGTGCTGACAAAAACATTGACTACTTCGAAACATTCTTAGTGCTGTAAATTAATTAGAATAACTGTAAATGATTAATGTTTATTTTTTTTTCAGCCGCCAAACATCGAAAGGGGGGATTGTTGTACCATAAATTATAATACGACGTTTAGCTTGAGAACGCTTCTCCTACCGGATGTGCAGTTTGCATTTATCTTAGCGGTGATGGCATAACTCTTTTGTATGTAAGTATATGTTTTTTTCATTTCTTCGCTTTGTCTGCTGTATGAAACTATGTTTAAGTTAATCTCTCATTAAAAATGTTCATTGATTTTACAATCTGTTTAGGTTCTTTTTTCTTCAAGTGTTTTATCATGTAAAAAGTTAAACTATTTTGGAAAAGTTTCACAACTTAAAAATAAATTTCAAAATTTCCACATCTTAAATTGTTAAAAATGAATCGACAATCTGAGATTCAATTGGAATATAAACGCGTTACGTAAAATTTAAAATTAGACAAAAACGCGTCCTTAGATTTTATTTTAAATAAAATTATATCGTTTTCGCGGGCTGTCAGACACCGGAACAAAAAAAAATTTTTTTTTTATTCAGATGTTTAATTCAAAATCTACTCTAAACTATGGTTTTTCATTTCGCTTAATTTTAAATTTGAGATATTTGTAAATAACTGAAATAAAATTATCCGCCCATAACTTTCGGCGATTACGTTTTTTGTTATATTTCTTGCGAGAAAATATAGATAGCATTATTTTTTCAAGTTCATTCACTTTGCCAAATTCTGTCTCTTCTTTTATGTGTTCCTAGCATTTTTCACACGTTAAAGAAACATAGAAAGATAAAATCTCGTGTATCTGGATGGGGAAATTGGTGTGTATCTTATTTAAAGGCAAAAACAACGTTGACTTCTTTGACATTAAGTCATTCTTTTTTGAGTTTTATGATGATAAAGAATGAAAAATATAAACATAGATTCCAGTATTCTTGGATTTCTTGGAATAAAACTTATTCACAATATAGTTGTCCTATAGTGTCAAATATTGGGCAGAAATCTGCATATTTTGCATAATTATCAGTAGTGGTGGGCAGCAGTGTAGGTGGGCTTCCAGTACCGCTAGAGGGGCTGTGTTCTTCCTAGAAGCCGAGTCCTGTCAAGTCCAGTAGCCTCGTGGATTCTATCAAAGAGCAGAGGTCAAGTCCATTAGCCGAGTGGATTCTACCAAAGAGGAGAGGTCAAGTCCAGTACCCGAATGAATTCCAACAAAGAGTGGAGGTCAAGTCCAGTAGCCGAGTGGATTCTACCAAAGAGCAGAGGTCAAGTCCATTAGTCGAGTTGGATTCTACCAAAGAGGAAAGGTCAAGTCCAATAGCCGAGTGGATTCTACCAAAGAGATGAAATCCAAGTAGTGGGGTGGATTCTACAGCTGAGGTCAAGACCAGTAGTTGAATGGATTTTTCAGTCGATCGGAATCAGTAAAATTCTCGCCACATCCCAGACACACCGAGTGGACTTTACGAGGACTGTACATGTCAGTGGCCCTATTCTCTATTTGACGATTGGAATATGCCTAAGAGAAACTGTCTGGTAATATTGCGCGCCTGAGGAAGAGAGGGATTGTACCGAGATGCCCAACTCCACCTAAGACGTTACGCTGTTGAATAAATTGCAATGAATTTTTCCTCAACACTTTATTAATTTTGTATACGGAACTCAAAATTTCAATGTCAACTCTTGGTTGGGTGCGCTAATATTTTGTTTTCATCCACCTTGTTTTGTGTGTTTTATTAATTAAAAACTAGACATTCGTTTTCTTTTTTTTCCCCTAATAGGTAATACATCACCGTCCCGTTTTACAAATGGTTGATTTTTATATGTTTTGCTACCTAAAAAATCTTCAAATATCAAGCTTTCTATCTGCCGAAACAAACTGCATGTTAGTTTCATTAAAATCTGATTATTAATAAATCCCATACAAGTTTAAGTGAGAGAAGAATCACAACAGTCTAATGCCTGGACAATTTACTTCGACATAACATGCTATTTAGACCGATTCATCAGTTCAGGTTGACGTTACGCATAGTTGATTTTTATCTCAGAAATTTCCTTTTAAGCATAAAAAATGAATGAGCGAAATAAAATTTAGCTTTCTTTGGTAATAAAATAATCTAAGTAATATATGAAGTTATTGTTTCCTTTTTGAGAGTAAGAGATATTTTGAGCATGTAAGATGAGATAAAATGGTTTTTCGTTTCTACTCATAATTTATTTAAACTAGTAGAAATCAAGGTATTTTAATAATGAAATTTTAACAGGTATATTTTTTTTATTGCTAGAATTGAGTAATATGATAAAGTTATGTCGATAAAACAAAATAAAAATGCAGTTCTAGAATAAAGTATAATTTGGGGGCCTTTTTCTAATTTTAAATTAAGTTTGTTACATAATGTAAACTAATGATAAATTAAAAATAATAAAAATAATCAGTTTTAGAGATATTGTTGCGTGCGTACGGGTTCGTTATGAATTAATGCACAAGTCAGATGAAAAATGAATAAAATTTATTATTTTCTCAACAAATAAAACAAAATGCTTAAATTTCCTGAAATATTTGTACAATATCCCAATATCTCACAGTAGTTATCTTTTAAACTACTAAAAACGTTCAACAGAACTAATCCAAAATAGAGAAGTGTAGAGAAAGCTAATTCGATTTCACCGCGAATTCGCTACAGTAAACAACAGTAGTTTTCTAAACAAAACAAGTGAGCTGAGGTTAAAAAGTTACTACGAAGCCAGAGATTTTCCTCCTTTTATAAGATTTTAAAATCACGCGCCGAGATTTTCTAGTACAATTCTCGAAATCAAAAAGAGATATTTATTTATTAAATGTTAAATGCACGTGCTCTTGTATTTTTGATTTTCCGGCTTAGCTTTCTCTTAATATTCGTCACGACCTGCACTGAATGCCGAATAAAACAATTTAATTTATAATTCTATTAACATTAAGTATTTAAATACCAAAAGCGTAATATTTTATTGACACTGCGAAATTCAAGGGTCAGATGTATTGACTGAACAAAACTTATTAAGCAGCCTATAGCACGAATCCAAGTATTAAGTTGGCCATAGAATGAAAAAACTTTGGCTACCACTGATCTAAATGGTAATGGCATAGCAATGCTAGGGTGGTCTTCCTAAGCCCTGAAAAACAAAATTTTATATTTCCTCCTGAGCTAAATCAGTTTATAATCTTTTATGGTAACGCTTGTGATTTAAATTCTTTCTTACGAGAATTACATCATGAAATGTGTAAAATTTGTTTAGAGGCCCTGCAACATCCGTAATTAAGCGTGTCCCCAGACTTTAGAGCAGCTATGACATGTGAAATGTTAATAGAATGTTAAAATTATATCCTTACTTGCATACATTGAATTTCCATACTGAATTTCCACTTCAATAGCTAAAATTGTGGGAACATTAGGTTATTTCGAAGCAGAAGACACAAAAAATGAGCAATGCCTTAGCCGGGAATCGAATCTCGGACCTCTCTAATACGCGCCGAGTGTGCCGATCATTACACCACGAAAGCATGCTAAGAAAGCGGGAGGAATACCTTATAAAATACCCAGATTACAGTGTGATAAAATCTCAAAACATATCGCATATCGTTATGTAATTGTTTTAAGAGAACGTTTTGTTGCTCATACGAGTTATAAAAAGGAAATTATTTTAAATGTAAACGTAAACATGGAGACAAAAGGTGAAATAATAGAAGCAACTTTAGTTTCTACTCTTTCACTTTAGCTCTTACAGAGAGTGACGAAATAATTGTTTAGCTTGTTGTCAGCATCAGGAAATAGAAGAAGGAAAAGCGGTCAGAATCAGAAAAACATAACTTTCCTCAATGCATAATCGACTCAAGATATCCTAAATCACGGCCAGATATTACAGGCAATAATTAGAGAAATATTTTTATTTAGGAAGATCCAATAGAAATTTAAACTGATAATTTGGGATTCTCCATAGTTAAAGAAACGAGACTTTTTTTTATGTGCGTCACGACTTGAGTTGTGAGGAGGTGAAACTAATTCACTTGCATACTCAAAAACAACTGATACTATGTTTTTCTATCATATCAGATTTCTCATTTCTTATTATGATTGCTCCTAAGAGCTAGGAACAAAAGTTGGACACAATTCTTAAAGCTTCTTTCTAACTACGAACTATCTCACATAGTTCGAAAATGCCGATGGGAAGAATGGGAATTCAGAGTTCAAAATTAATAAATCCTACTTAAAGAAAATAAAATCGAGAAGGTAGGGAAAAAATAAAGGTCATTTTACGATTTTTTTTCCCTATGATTATATTTCTTGCAGTAATGAATCTTCTTTTAAAAAGAGATCGAGAGGGAGTTGAATAATCCCAGCTAAAGGAAAATTTCTGGACAGTTTGAGTGAATGATCAAATTGGGTTAATGGCTAAGACCCACAGTATGTAGAATAGTCCCTACGCATCAGATAGGTCTGATATCTTGGTAATTTATACGACAGCCAGATGAACATCAGTATATCGCTCTCCCCCCGGGGGTCGACGTAGAGAACTCTGCGAAGCTACTGGCTAGGATCTGTACCTAGGCAGTCTCGGCCACGGGGGTATAAAATTTATGAACTTGGTGGTTGAAGGCTCTGGGAAAGGTACTTATTGGCCGGCCTGGCGTTGGACGTCCTAGGGGCGTGTGCTAGTAACCCGTGGGGATTTCCCCGGGGTCGCGTGGGTAAGTCCCGCGCGCGGGTCGCCGAGCGACTGGCAGGAGCATTGACGACGGTGCTGCTGTGACGTATCCAGGTGGTGAGCGGCCTGCGGGGGTAATAGTGGAGGTTGAACCTCCACGACGTGCCCGAAGGCAGAGTCGACCTGTAGTGAGCTTAGTTCTCGGAACGGGGAAGCTAAAACCCTTAGTATATCGCTCTGCTTTGAACTCTGGTATATCTCACATTTACACCCTATGATTCTATATATTTGAAATTATTATTTCTGATGCCTTTGAAAATTACAATTTTACACTTAAAAATTCTGAAATCATTCAGGGTTTCCAATCAGAAGTTCATATGCTTGAAATTTGGAGTGCTATTTGCCAAGTACTTCAATTTTATCATCCAAGCTCTATATCTTGTACATATATATTTATGCTATGTAAGAAATTTTACATATCACACTGTCAATGTTTCTGCATTTCAGATAACTACTGGAAATGTTGTTTACTCTACTGAATATACAGAAATATATTTTGGAGAAACCTAGCAGCTGCACTGCACGAAGAATTTCCAGAATTGCACGCTACGTTAGTTGTTAATTGTACTTTTTATGTTAGTTTCATTATTTTCGCAGTTCTTGAATGATATTTACTTCCTATTTCTTAAGATAGTCCCTTGATACAGGAAAATATGTCGTCTAGATGCCCACAATTACTTCGTTTTAACTCCGCGAGCGGCCAATTAGCCAAGATCACTGAATACTGGTAGTTTGACTTGGTTTGGATTCGATCCTGGGCGAATGTGGCTGCATGGTTGGTTTTCGAAGTTTTCTCCATGCGTAGAATAACTGTGATCCAGTTTCCTCAGTAAGTTCTCTATGAAGGCATACCTCCTCTTAAGCAGATAGCTCCCGTGGTTTTGCCACATTCATATAACTTAACTTTTCCACATAATGAGAACACTGCTTTAATTTTTGAGGAAATAATCCAGGCCTAGGAGCCTAGAATTTTGCATTTAGCAAAAAAAAAAATCGTTAAATATTTATATATTATCTTTATTATTATACTATTATACAATACTCATAACTGAAATTAAGGTTTGTTAGCTCTATGATCACTATACAGAACACACAACGGTCATTCACATATGCATTTTTTAAAAAAATTGTTTAATTTAATTTTAATTTATTAAATAAGTAGATTTATTTCAGATAGATTTTGCACTGATTTGCGTATGCTTCTGAATTAAATATTGTAGATAGTTCGAGAATTAATCTTTTACATGTTTGCACATTTTTTTTTTTTAAATTATTTTAAATTTTGGCTTTTTTCCTTTTTTTAGATTTAAATTTGCTTTTTTACTTTTATACGTATTGTTAAGAATTTGAATTTGTTAAATTTAAATTTCATTCCTTGCAAGCAATGGCGCAAGATATTTATTAAATATGTATTTTAAATTTAATTTTTTTAATTAAATTTAATGTATTCTTATGAAACATTTTAAATTATTTAAATTTTGGCTTTTTTTCCTTTTTTTAGAATTTAAATTTGCTTTTTTACTTTTATACGTGTTTTTTAAGAATTTAAATTTGTTTAAATTTAAGATTTAATAGCAACATGCAGTAATGGGCAAGAAAATTTTCATAACGTGTTTTTTTTTCCTTCAGTTAAAAATATATAGTGATGAATTTCAGTTCTTTTTACTTCCATCTTTTATTAGAAGTATGTGTTATGCCGATCCAGCGTAGAATATTGGCAAGACGAACAACTATCATCTTTTGAAAATACGGATCAAGTGCATAAAATTTATTTACAGACTTCCAGTGACGGGCCAAATTTAAGAAAGCTGCTACTATAATGAAAGCTTCGTATAAATAATTACAAATGTTAACAATTATCTTATCCTAATTCTAAAAGAATATTCCTACAGTGTGCTAAATAACGAAATACTGATGTTATCACTACAACTAAATGATATTTTTGCAAGAAATAAATAAGCATCGCTGGTTCATTGTGTAAAACTGTTTTATTCGTTATAATTGTGATTTTTATTATGATATAAAGATTGTTTAATATGTTGAAAATAAAGATACCTTTTTCAATAAAATTTCAGTAATTACTTCCCGCTTAGTTCTAATCGTTGAAGGATCTTTAATTTCATGCACGTATGCTACCTGATTAACTCATAACTTTTGTATTGATATTGTTAAGTAATATCCTTTAAAATTTTTCCTCTTTTCATTCACCCTCTGACTACTAAATATTTGTAATTTGAAAATGCAGTATTTCTTTAATGATTGTATCACATATTTAAGGTAAAATTATAAGCTATTTTATGCTAATTAACCAATTATTATGATTTAAAACTTTTACTATAACTTTTCCTTCTGTAATCTTTTCCAAAATGCGAAGTAAGTAGTTGAGTAGTTAAGTCGAAGGCTTTGAATGTTGGCAGATCGCTGCAATTTATGTCTTATCGGCCCGCCTCTGCTACTGATTACGTCGGTTTTAAACATTTAGCGATTCGACGATAAGAGTGAAATATTTGAGACAGTTTAATTAGACCTATTTGTGTCTCTTCATTAAAAATGGCATAATTTGAAATTTATATTGGTACCGATTGCGTTTCCAATATAAATTTCAAATAATACCATTTTAAATTATATTAAATTAAATTGGGGTAAGCACCGATTGCTTTTCTTAATGTTGCAATTTAAAACTGAGTATATCCAGTCTGGTATGTAAATACCGCTGTCGGAATCATATACTTTGCATAATTATTAACGTTTAATTAATATTAACTAAGATTCTAAGCTTCCTTGTAAATTTGCATTTTGATATGATATTGCACAAAATATCAACTGCTCTGCACTTTTCCCCAAAATGCGGCAAGAAGGTAACTTAATGCTTTGAAACCTTGTTTCATGTGTCACTGGGCAAGATCAGAATCTTTATTATATGCGGCTTAAGTGTCTGTTTGTCGGCGATAGTTTATTGGTTGCTTGTGTAACTGTACTAGCCAATGGGGTGAAGTTGCCAAGGCATTCAAATAGTCCATATACACTGTACCATACATCCGTTAACCATTGTTTAATTAATTATCATAGTATTTAAGAACATTTAATATTTTTAATTCAATACAATTTTGCTTATTATGCATTTAATATATTTACTTATGAATTACTAGAACTTGGCAAACGTTGAGAAATTAAGGAGACGAAACCAACCAACGAGTTGTGGTAGTACATCACATCAGGTAGGTTTACCCAAACTCCTATGCCATGCTAAATTTATCCTTTCGCGTAAAGAGTTTTAAATTTTGCCTGATTTTATTCCGACAAACTGCTTTAAAGTGAATTTTAGCTGAACGCAAATTGAGCGTGTCAGGGGAAACATGAACATTTGTTTGCATTAGCAATCATCTGTTTTTGAAATGGTTTAGAACAGAACGCAAATTGAGCGTGTCAGAGGGAATGTAAACATTTGTTTGCATTAGGAATTATCGTTTATAATCAATTTGTAATCATTAATTTATAATCTCTAGAACATCGGTCATTTCGTATGATCACCGGACTTTCTAGTTATTAATAAGCCAGCTATAAAATGCTTGATTAATTTAAGCTAGGGAAACATATTCATTCTTAAGCGGCATCTATGTCGAGTAGTTCATATTATTTTGTAGTAGGTTACTAAGTACTAGCTAGAAAAATTTTGCTCATGTTTTGATTAAAATAACCGGTATATGCACTTTCACTTTTATCCCACTCTATGAAATGCTGTAAAAAGCATTAAATATCCGTAAGTGGCTGAGATTATTTGTACGTGCAAGTGGTGTCTTCTGTTTAATTTAAAAGATTAATAAAAAGGTTAGCTTAAAAGTCTCAGGACTTGGAATAATATTAAATCAGACGGAGAAATAATTCCCTTGTCAGTCTAGTAGAGTCTTAAGGACATTGATTTAAATTTCTGCACGCTAAAAACCTTTATTGCTAACTAAAACGCCCAACATAACACTCCCTCAAGAACCATAACTTCCCCGACTGGCGCAACTTTTAGCTCCCCCCTCCCCCAAGTTTTTACAATACCAGAAAATCCAGTGTAATGATTTAAGTAAATACTGCATACAATGCGTCTATCGATGAAACCATCCAGTAATTTCGATCTCTGTGGAAAGCTTAGGAACCAAATTACACACGGTTAAAGAAGTTTATAAGATTGGGGGAGGAGGCTGTAGAAGCTGCTACTCTCGAAGTCAAGCATTGATGTGGTACAAAGGCGTTTCAAAGAATCTGCTTGCTGTAAGAAGCTGCTACGCTCGAAGTCAAGCATTGATGTGGTACAGAGGCGCTTCAAAGAATATGCTTTCTGTAAGAAGCTGCTACGCTTGAAGTCAGGCATTGATGTGGTACTAAAGCATTAGAAAGAATCCGCTATGTGAGTGGGGATTTGAGAATTATAGATTCGATGTACTCATAACACATCCATTGAGAATATTGCCTGTGGTCAAAAACAGAGCAAAATTAGAATCACGGCTGTGTGGCAAATATCAGGAAAAATGAGGATAAGTTAATTGATCTCATTCTAAAAGGAAGTTTAACTATTAAAAAATTTTATATGAGATAAAACGCCATTTGGAATTAATGAAATAATATTGTCTGCTTATGTAAAGCTTTGTAAGAGCTGAGAAACCCAGGTATTTTAGAACAACTTTTGAGGTAACTGTGAAGTTTGAAAGTCGGCGAATATGCGTAGGCGGGAGTTTGATGAAAGATTTAAGAGAAGCTTTAAAAAGCCGGTATAAAGTTTTGGTGGCCAGTAGAGTTTCCGTCCACTAACGGCAATCACCAAGATAAATCTCAAATGAAGTTTGATAAAAGAAAAGCGGGTGTTGATAAGCTTGAACTTTAAATTTGTAAGGGGTGCAGTAGGTCCCTCATACCAGTGACCCAAATTAAAGAAAAATCCTTTCAGATTCAATTAAACGCGATTTTCATTAAAAGCTTTCCATTTACAAACATCCAAATTGTCTTATAGAATTCCGTCGGTGGAATTACTAGATATAGTAGCACAGTGTAGTTTTTTTTTTTTTTTTTTTTTTTTTTTTTTTTTTTTTTTTTTGGCGGCACTTTTTTTTTAGAAAAATTTGGGAAACATCTGGTATTAGATGCTACAGGAACTAAGGTGATAACAGTGAAGGAAACAATGTGAATGCAAAGAGTGACTTTGGAGAGGCAAGTTAAGAATGAGCAACATAAAAAGCCTATTTTCATGATTAGAAAAATACAGGAAAGCATGATTTAGAATAGGATTTCTTAAAATAGCTGGTGCGCGAATTGATTTTCAGGAAGAGTGCAACTGAACATGAAATCAGGAGAAAGAAGTAGAACCGCTAGCATTGGACTTGAAAGATTTGTCTCCAAAAAGAAGATAAAACTGGGAAAGTTGGTAGGAAATTTTTCAAATTTACATGATGATACCAAGGGAGTTAACACATGTGGTGAATCACAAAATCGAATGAGGAAATAACCAACCGTGTAGAGCAGAACCTTACTGCTACGATAAAATTAAACAAGAGCTCATGAAAAGGCATATTTTGGAGCTTGGTAATTTGCTATCTTCTACTCAAAATTAAATTCTATAACAGTTAATCTCAACCACTACGCCACGGCACTTTAGTGTGCCGCTAAATTTTATTAAAGAATTCAATAAAAATTATTCTGAATGTACTTATATGAAATATGACTGTTCTCGTGTAATACTAATTCTCGTGTATTACACGAGATTATGTATTATTTCTAACTCCTTAACCCCTTCGCAATGGCATGTTAACTAAAAGAACTCTGCCGACGAGTGTGTGACATATGCATCATTGTCGCTAAAAGCCGGATGATGCACTGATGCATCGCTGCTTGCATTGATCTTCCCGACGGGTGTGGCATACATGCACTTTCAAATATACACGTTCTTCTACAATTTTTTAAACCACTAGATGGCACTCCGTGTTCGCTACAGTTAAGTTATTTGAACATAAACATTGTTGACCTTGTGTCCGTGAAGTACTTTCTGATTCTGGTGATCCGTTCATATGTACGAGCAGATGATATATCCGATCCGATCCGAACAAGTATGGCTGGAGTAGCGCGCGAAGCGCGCTGTTTCCAGCTCATGAGGAGAGCCAGTAGGCACATGACGGTAGGAAGTCTGACGTGGTAGGAGTTAAGAGAATGAGGTGAGGCAGAAGGGGGGCGAGCAAGATGCCGCAAGCCTAGGAATTAGGCCAGACAAGAAGACGCGCCGCAGACGGAGCTGTGCAAGGTAAAGCAATAATGAGTTTTTAAGATAAGATACTGTGAAAGTATACTACATGACAGAACGAGTTTGTAAGAATACAAACTCTCAAAGGCATACATTTGCAAATATAGAGTTACAGTGACAAAAATGCAGTTTGGAAGATCAGAAATCATATAGAAGTTTCGATGAAATAATAAGAAAAAGTAAAAGTATTCATAAAAGCTATATACAATATGTACAACTATATACAGGAATGTTCTACTTTATGTAGGAAAGTTCAGATCTCTGGCTAGGTGGGCTGCCAGCGGTCGTAACTCTTTATCTTCCGGTAGTGGAATGTAGTCAAATACATGTAATTTTGTCATGTGAGGGCATGTAACTGCTTTCTGGAAAAAGCTGGAGTTTAAGCGATGAAGATGCTCTATGACAGTTTCAATTTTCAAATCCTTGTGTAAAGTCCTATTAGATACAAAATAATGCGCATTCGTGAAGGTGCGCAGCAACTTGTTCTGTGTAATTTGTAATTTAGATATGTCCCTGTCTCTAACTGATGCCCACGCAGGGGAAGCATACGTGAAGATTGGCCGTATAACAGAGATGTATAAGTGCCGTTTTCTTCTTAAGTCCAGTTTAGAGTACTCGTTAATAAGTGGGTTGAGACTCTGAATGACTCCTAGTGTTTTTCCCCTGACATGAGTCAGGTGATCCTTCCAGGGAAATTTATCATTAATAATAACGCCAAGGTAATTCGCCTTGCGTACTCTGTATCAAATAGTTTAAGCTTTTCCGTGATTTCAGTGGCAG